AGAGGTGTTTGACCTCAAGTTTTTTACTAATTTACTAATTCTTCCTCTGAATGTCTGGAGTTTCTTTTGTTTCTGGATACTTTATAGGTTTTTACAGCCATAGGCTCTGCCACTCCTATGTGCATTAAGTGAATCGTTTGGCAAAGGCTTGAATGTAACGGACGTTAATTTATATGTAAGACTCCCGCACTCAAGCTTTAAATAGTTTCCACCTGTGTGCAATTTAAACTCAATATAAATCCACCAACAGGTGAAGCTGAAGGCCTCAGTGTTCTGGAGATTTACAAAGCGGGGTTAAGTTCAAAATCCCAAGGTTTGAATACCTCACAGAGCACTATTAAATCCATCATTAGAAAATGGAAAGAATATTGCACAATAACAAAAGAGAAGGCTGTCAACCTAAACTGAAGGACAGGGCAAGAAGAGCATTAAGTAGATAAGCAACCATGAGGCCATTGGTAACAAGCTGGAAAGTCCACAGTCTGGGGGAAAATCTGTCAACTGGAACACAAACAATCAACATGCACTCCTCAACTTGGCCTTGGAAAATTGGTTAGACGAAAGCTGTTGCTGTGATAAAAGCAATAATATATCCAGTTTTGAGTTTGCCACAAGCCATATGGGAGATACAACAAACATCATAGAAGAAGGTTCTTTGGTCAGATGAGACCAAAATTGAACTTTTCAGCACTGGTGTTATGTGAGATTGAAACCCAACACTGTAAAGTGAAACGGTGGTGGTGGTGGCAGCATGGGGATGTTTTTCATCAGCAAGTACTGGGAAACTGTACTGTAACTGTAACAGATAGATGGAGCCAAACACAGGGCAAGAAGAAAACATGTTTCAGACTCCAAGTGGAGCGATGAATATTTATTTAAGGTACTGCTTATCAGTCTTTGCCCTCATAGGTGATACTTTTTAGTTAGATACTTTTTCTGGGATTTATTGACAATAAGAAAGATAAAGAATATCCCCAGCTTTATCCTTCAAGTTTGGCAGATGTATCTTGGGTAAAATTCCCTGACTATTCTGTTACCATAAGAGTGGTCTTTGCCCCAAAAGAGAGTTATATCTATAGATCATTCTAAACACCCACTGGCCTTTTTGGTCTTCAGAGATAAGATTAACACTTACCGAAAGCAAAGAAACACATCTACGACAATCAATGAGTTGCTTCTTCTTATCATTTACTTCTAGATGTTAAATGTTATGAGACTATGGAGGACCGAAACTGCCAAATTCAAAATAAATAAATGACTTAATAAATACATTAATATGCTACTAAATGCAACAAAATAATAATATATTTATAATATAATAATATATAAAATGTAGGAATTAATTAATTTATAAAATGTGGCATAAATTGAGATTTCTGTTTGAATTTATTTCTGTATCCTGTTTATTTTTCCTTATTTTCCTACCATTCTGTTTTCCCCTGTGTTTTGCCTACCTCTCTGTGTCTCCACCTCTCCCCTTGCGTGTGCTCTCCCTCTCTCTCTGCCCCTGAGCCCAGCTGACAGTCCACACCCGCACCTCATCAGCCACCTCCTCTGCCCGCCACACATGCCAGCAATCAACTCCATCTCTGCCAGTATATCAACATTGGTTCTTCACACAATCTCTGCTTGATCGTCGTTGCTCCTGACCTGGTGCCACTGTGTTACTCAACCTTCTTAAAATCCTGCAAAATCTCTGTTTCCCCGTTTTCTGTTTCCCTGTGATTAACCTGTCTGTCTGTCTGCCTTTTCCCCAGGTTCACTCACCTCCATCCACCGTCATATCAGCTGGGCTCGCCAACTTGCCCTCTCCCCTCAGGCTTCTTCCACGGTATCCTCTCGACTCCCCTCTCGCTCCTCGCCAGTCTGCCTGCCACCACACTCCTTCTCCCATCCCTCCGGTCAGTTCTCCTGGGCCTCCTCTCCTCCTTGGTCCTCTGTTTCCCTCGTCTCCCTCGCCTCAGCCTCCTCTGCCCCACCTGCTCCTTGGTCCTCCGTGCCCCCGTTCCCCGACGTCCACCTCTCCTTCATCTCCACTGCCTCAGCCCCTTGTCCCTTAATAAAACCTGTTTAATCCTGAGTGTTGCGTTTGGGTCCCTTCTGTCCTAACTCACAACAATTTCCCGTATTTATTTAATTTAAAACTCATATAATTTATAATTTTTTTCATTGTATGAATTATTTTTTTGTATTATTTCTGTATTATTTTCCCTTTGCCTTTTTTAATTCCACTTATTTATTTATTTATTTTTACATTTCTTTATGCATTTCTTCTTCATTATGCAAATGAGGGGGCTGTTATTAAAAGTGTGTCATAGATTGACTTTTACATGCCTTGCTCCCACACAAGCGGCCAGGTTCACGTCACAATACAAATGGTTATATCCAGAGAGATCACTAGATTGAGACGCTTAACTAATCTAGCTAAAAATAATAGTCAGTCAGAACTATTTACTTTTTTGTGTGGAAGTAAATAGAGACCTGTGCGCTTGATGCGGGACTGACAGCTTACACAGATACAGAAGTTAACCCTTTTGTTCTCAGTAATTTGAAGGAAGTGGCACATGGCCTGAACAAGTCCCTATACCTCATAAATAATGCTGGGAGAGCTGGGCGACCTCCTCATATGCTGCCTGCAGAAGCCCTGGAAAGTTTTTTGCTTGCATGTTTGTGTTTCTGTCACAAGGCAAAGCCTTCTGGGGTTGATGAGAGAACAATTCACCGTTGGATGGAAGAGATGGCATACGGTGACATCACTACCAGTTTGCCAGATCAGGATTGTGCTACAGACACTAGATTTAAAAATTCCAGTATATTGCGAGTCATTTGGCAAGGGCTTGAATGTAACAGACATTCATTATTATGTTTTAATTAAGAATGCAATGCAGTTTTTTTTGTTTTTACAGTCTTACACAGTAATAGCTGGATCAACTTCGCCCAGATCTTTTGGCTTAAATTACCCCATCCCTGAAATTTTAACAAACTTGTGTCATCCGGCCGTTTAGAGGTAATGTCATGCTAACAGTAAATCCAAACTGTAACTTCCTAAAGCACTAACACATGAGTGAGATTTGTTCAAACTTGTTTAGAATTGTTTAAACACAAGAATCATGACTCCTTGAACATAACAAATTCACTTTTAATGGCAAATTCTTTTACCTTAAATGTGCCTCTTTCCATCACAGGGTCAGTAAAATGGATAACTCTTCAAAAATATGTGGTCACATGACCAATTTAGTCTACGGGTGCTGATAAACAAGGAGTGGCTCAACTTCCCCACAGACTCAGATCACCCCACTCTCCCCTACATGTGATCTGTTGTGAATGGAGTGAAGGTGGAAATTGGTCTGGTCTGAAGTATTATCCCAATCCAATCCTGTACAAATGTATGTGGGCTAAAAGGGTGCTATATTGCTAAACACTTCCCAACACTTCCAATGTTGTACAGCACATCGTTAAATACAAACGTTGGTAAAATATGCAGTGCACTACGAAGCAATGACAGAAATGTTTAAACAATCTCTGATATCTGTAGATAAATGTTCACCAATCATAACAACATAGCTATTGGCTTACGTTTTGACGGATCATATATTTCAATGTAGCACCACTTGCTATAATTTTCAGTTATTACAGGCAAATACATCCTGTAACTTACCATAACAGCAACATACCCAGACCTCTATGCCATCTGACTTGTTCTTTCACCAGCCACAAAATGTCACAGACAAACTGTACAGAGCAAAAAACTTTCCAGGGCTTCCGCAGGCAGCATATGAGGATGGCAGCCCAACATATTATGTGATATTCGGGCATGTTCAGGCGATGAGCCACTTTCTCCAAATTACTGAATGCAAAAGGGTCAGCTTCTGTGTCCATGTACGCCACTAACTGAAACACACCCATTAACGAAATGCATAAAGAAATGTAAAGTTTCGGGTAGTTTTGGTCCTCCAAAGATTTAGGCATGGAAGTCAATGCATCAAATTTCTGTTACCATTATTACCACACCACCTCCTGGATAGATTGAACAACTTATAACACCACTGAAAAGCCTTGACTTCATAGAAGTATGTGGATGTCGGCGCCCATGTTTGACACATCGTGCTCAAGGGGGTTAATCCATGCGAAGTAAAGGATTTTTACCCACAACCTTCATGTTGTTGCAGTAAAGCAAAACATCTCATGAGGCATGTGAGAGGTCATAAACAGTGCAATGCAGAAATATACAAATCTGACAGCAATCCCTTGTTTTGCATTTGGCTGGAAAATGTCAGAATACAAAATTCAGCTAGACTAGACAGCTAGATCAGCAAGGCCCATAATACTGCAGATATATCGACATATATTTGGCCTTTAAGTTACAAGAAAATGCAGTATAGAAATGCCAAAGGTAATACTGTTCAGTCATTTAACAATATTCCTTCACCTTCAACATTTCATCATGGTACAACCTCCTTACCACCAAACATAAACCAAAACTCTCCCACATAATAACTCACTGCAATAAGATAATCGGCTCTACAAACCCCCTTATCTGAACTGTACAACCGCTCTGTTATCAGGAAAGCCACCATGATCACAGAGGACCCCTCCCACTCCCTCCACCACTCTTTCCAGTTACTACCATCAGACAAATTCATTCCCTCTGCAATAATCACTCAGAACAACAAAAAATAGTCATGGTACAGAGGCTGTTTCTGTATGTTTTAAATGTGGGTTTAAATGTGTATTATTAATGAGGCTTGTTAAAGGAGAATTGTCAAAACAGTGACACCATTACAATGTTTGTCCACCAGAGAGCACTGACAAGATGTTTACAAGTTAGTTTTAACTGTAAAATGTCCCACTTAGTTCATCCCAGTGATCCATTTCACTTGTGTTTATATGGTGTGTGTATGTCCATGACAGTTCAGCAGTCATTTTAAATGTACCAGCAACAACAATCTTTAATGTATTAGCTTGAATACTGGTACTCTCTCCATTAAAAGGAAACTTACCAAAGCAGGAGTTGATAAAGCCGTACCAGCTGCAGCCGCTGCGCCCCAGCAGCCACTTGCCTCGAACACTGGAGGCGAAACTCAGAGGGGTGCCGAACAAACACACCATCATGTCACTGACACTAATGTTCAGCAACAGCATGTTCACTGGTGTTCGCAGCTTCTTGAACTTGCAAAACAGAAGCAGGACAATGAAGTTGTTCAGGAAGCCAAAAGTCATGATGAAGCCCAGCACCACGGACAGCACTACGAAGCCCGTCGGGGAGAGCTTCGCCATGCCCGCCGCCGTGTCCACTAGCTCCTGGCCATCGCTTAGGTTGAAGCTGTAATTCAGACCCACCTGACCAGAAAACATTCTGCTGTCCATTCATCGGAGCTTGTCCTCACTCTGGAGCCGTTTTGATAGTTAGGGTTGGTCAATTTGCTCACCAGGAAAGTTTATGAGAGGCGTCCTTCTCAAGTCTTTCTCCATGCTGTTTTTGTTTCATTTGGCACATAAGACCTGCGCGCTTGATGCGATTTTCTACACGCACATTACATGGAGCCGCCAACTCATTCCTAGAAAACTGACACTGACACAAAGGCTAGAAAATATATTTTAACCATAATGTGCCACCTGTTACCGTAACGCATCGCGTGTCTTCTTCGTATTCAGAACATTCCACTGTGCGCACCAACTTCTATTGACGCCTTAATAGTTTGGTAACGCTATCACGATTAATCACAGTTTACACAAGACTCAGCCCTTTTCTTAATTCTTCTTTTATGTTTGTGAAAGTCTGTCATCTCCAAATCACCACTTTTGGATGAATGTAATCCGCGCTCACAGTGAAGACTCCTCCAGGATGAACAGAGCCGCGTAAAGAGCGCTCAGCTTCGCTAACCAGCATCTTTTAAAGGCGACTCTTACGTCACAAGGCCCGTGTGTGTGTGTGTGTGTGTGTGTGTGTGTGTGTGTGTGTGTGTGTGGCTCTGTGTGTGAGCTCTTTTATTGTCCCTTTATTCAATTTTTATATATTTATGTATTCAGATCTGATACTTAAAAGTACCAATTCAGCGCTGTAAAAATGCTCTGCTACAAGTAAAAGTCCTGCATTGAAAATGTTATTTACCCAGAGTCGTAAGTGACTCCTACTAAATGTTTGTTTTGTCTTAACAATAGTCCAAACCTCAAAATCTTTACAAATAAATTAACATAATTAAAATAATTAAAGGAAACGGAGCAAATCATCTTATTTGTGAAGCTGGAACAATTTTAAATGAACAATGACTGAAACGATTATCAAAATAGTTGCCAACTGATTTTTGATTAATCAACTAATCATTTCAGCTAAAATTTGTGTGTAAAAATCTTAATTTGTAAAGTAACTACAAATTAAAGCTGTCAAATAATGTAATAGTGAAGTAAAAAGTACAATATCTACCTCTAAATGGAGTAAAAGTAAATGTGTAGTGCTTGAATGAATGTACTTAGTTAGATTCCACGACTGGGTATATGTCTTTTTCAGAAATAGCTACAGTCACCTTTATTGTTTGTGTGTTTTTGGCTATGGAAGCTGAAGAAGAACAACAATATTTGAAATAGTAACTAAAAGAGAGAAGTTAAAATAACATGATCAAGAACACAAACTGCATGCTTCGTTTCACAAATGTTTCTCATTTAAGTCATTCTTTGCCAAAACTTGCAGTTTTTGTACACAAAAGACAACAGAGCTCTCGACGGCAAGAACAAAGCAAGCTTCTTCATATTTTGGATTTGACTGATGTGCTAGATGACCATCACCAGTTTCTCTTTTATTTCCTGACAACTGAACTTGTCACACAAGTCCTGGTGGAATTAATAAAATTAATGGTGGTTTTCTTTCTCCACTTCATAATGTTTTAAGTGACTGAAGTTAAAATGTCTGTTGCAGAAAGGGTCTGTTCAGCTTTAATTTCACTACTAACCTGAAACATATAAAGTATATAGTATATACTCTATATTGCGAATGTATGTTTGTTTGTCTAACTGTTTAAGCTTTTTGTTTCTCACTCAATATCTGTCTATTGCTTTCAACAGTATTTACTCATATTGTTCTCTTTATTTGTTTTTGCAGTAGGTATACTAATAGCTACCGAAGACTTATATGTTTAAATATACTTTAAACGTGATTTACCTAATACATAAGATCTTGTCAGTGCAATGTAGCCAACAGACATACAGTGCACACACTGCAGACTTGGGTTACAAAAACACGAGGAACTGTCTTGGGTTGAGCACGTTGCTAGAATTAATGATGAGAAGATGAAAAACTAAGCCCAGTTTGACATGCATGAGTTTACGTATCCTGCGATGGCAGGACCTGTCCAGGGTGTACCCCGCCTTTTGCCCGATGTCAGCTGGGATTGGCTCCAGCCCCCCGCGACCCTGTACACAGGATAAGCGGTTGACGATGGATGCATGGATGGATGGAGTTTATATATCAAAAGCCAAAACATTACAGAGGGGCCTATAATACTCTGAGACATCTTAATAATTTTCTATTCAGTCTTACAATTAACTAATCTCTTTCTATGAGCATTACAGTTCTCATTTGAAACATGCAACTCTTTTATTAAGTTACTATGCAGTGTCATCTCCAGCTCCCAGTTTGATTATTGTGTCTATTTTCATGTCTGCAACCACTTCTTGTCTGTAGGAACTTACCATCTTATCTATTTTCAGGTCTTTGTCTGCCTTCCTGCCTGGTGTGATTACCTGTCCCTGCCCTAAAGTGCTCCACCTGTGCCTCGTTGTCTCCCAGGCCCTAGTTGGATACCCTCTTCCCCTTTGTTTCAGTGCCAATTCGTCTTTATCCCTTGTGCCAGCGGCCTAGTGATTTCTCAGTGTGTGTTCTCTAGTGTGTTTGACCTTAGCTCTCTGTTTTTTACTCCGACTTCTGCTCTGTGTACTACTGCTGAGACTTATAAACTGTTTATTTTGTGAACCACCTTGAGTCGTGCCTGGTGAGTCCATTATCACTGTGTGTTGCCACTGATATGCAGCACTACAACAAATTGAACAAGGTCCAACCAAAAGACAAACAACAGGTTACTTTCTCCAGGCATTCATTTTAGGAATGGGGCAATACTGTGGTATTTAATGTCTAGATAATATCTTGATAGTGACAATGAGCATATTATGGACATATGACAATTTTGTAATAATAACAACCTAATAAAAAGGCACATCTCGATAGGTGGCATAAATAGTCAGAACACCAGCACAACAGGAGTGAAACAAAGTTATCTCTACTAGTAGCAAGCTAACTGCAGCTAATGTTAACTAGCGAGCCAGCAATGTGTATTCGGCTAATCACCTCACCAACTTACCGTTACAGCTGCAGATGTACAAACCTGAAAAAACTCCTGTCCTGTGGTTCACTGGCTGATACTGATGCTGCAAATGAAGTTATTGAATTGAAGTTATATTAAAAACCTAAAAGATTCAGCGATTTTGAGAAAACATTCGGGGATGGAGCCCATAAACAACCCCCTGCTGAGTGCATATGTGAACCATCATAGCAAGCCGTGTCAGCATGCTAACATTTGCTAATTAGCATTAAACACAAAAGTTGACAGGAATGTCATTTTTTGGCAGATACGTGGTCATAAATGTTGACCTGGTGGTGGTGCAGGATGAAAAGTCAGGGGATCACCAAAGTTGCTACAATTCTTCCTGAGGGAACAATAAATATCTTTACAAAATGTCATTACTGGCTCAGGTTTACTAAGCAACATAATCTTCTACCTGGATTCACTTTATCAATCGGTGTGAATACATTTCCAACTGTTCATAAGTGGGTGATGTGAATTATAACCCTCTGCATTGATTCCTGCAGCTCTGGTATTCAGTTGCCAGTGACAGTAACCCAAGCGTTTAAAGATGCAGCAGGGCCACAGATTATGAGACAGAAGCTCTGTGTTGGCTTATAGTTGTCAGATGGTCCATTACTAAACACATGCCCTGCGAGATGGGTTGTTATGAGAGAAGGCCCTGGCTGCAGTCCAAGTGAAGGCTGGGTTCGATGTCTGACCCTAGGACTTCATGGGTTCTGGAAATCATCTCTGAGGGATTTTATCAGCAATGATATAATCACATCAAAACATGCCCCAAAAAACAGACACAAAGCAGATATGGTGTAATGCTTCCTAACAATTGCCTTTGATAAAAAAAAAAGGAAATTGTGTCCCTCTCCTTCGGACATTTGATTTGCATTTAACAGTTCTCTGCTGATAGAGGAATGCTTTTACGATTCACACAGTTTGTAAGGAACTTAACTTGCAATTACACAATCACAAAGATGTGAAACAAAATTGCTTCTGTTTATTAAAGTCAGATCTGGTGAATGTACAAATCCTTTTGATGTCAAATAAATAGTCTTTCTGGTTCTATTAAAAGAACATTTTCAAATAATCATGCTGTGATAATCTAACATTTGAGGCTTAGGCTTAAGTCTAATTTAGTTCAGTTGTGTCTGTCTTACAATAAATGCCATTTTGTGAGTACTTTTTATGTTCTTGAAAAAAAGAGTCAACTGGAAAGAGTTGTTTACTGAGATAATTGTGCTTTCTTCCAGTTCTGTGATTCAAAGTGGACAGCTGCTCGCCTGGAGAAAATTATTACTGAGCTGTGGCATTCAAGACATGAACAAGTGGATTACCCCCAGCTGAGTTCTAATATCAGTACTGTACCTTAAGTCTATCTTCCAGGAAATAAATTGAGCTGGTTGCACTGTGACTCTTCACTGCCCATATGTATCAGAATATCCTAGATGCATATAGCCTCTATGTGTGGACCTACTTACAACTGCGTGCACATATACCGTATACTTAACTCAGCTGTCAGGCAGGTGATTACAGCACAGTATGTAATGTCACTTAGTTGAGATCAGAATCAGAAATACTTTATTGATCCCCAAGGGGACTGTCTCTCCCTGCTCATTGGTTGTGAAAAAAATAGAGGCTGAGAAGAATTATGACAGTACTGAGGTGAAGCAACTGGGTGCTAGATTTACTGTGGTTCTTAATAAATGTATGTAAGGTTGTAACTTGAAATAATGTTTATGTTTAGATAGTGAAGAAAGATACCTTTATAATAAGGTGTCTGAATATTGCATTTGTTTGTTACATCCACAGGGTTGAGGGATTTATTTCTAGACAAGACCAGTGTTACTATTGTGCTGTTAACAGAATGACCCTTATTCTTACATCGTTGTTTCTCATCTGTTACATTTAAATGTGTAATGCTCTAGTTTCTGTCTCCGTCTCTGAGAGTTTGCTGTCACCTCAATACAATGGAGGTTAAAGGAATTTGTTTGTGGTGCTCACAGTACTGAAGAATTAGAC